TGGTTCGCGGTGCTGAAGGCCCAGGAATGGCGTTCTGGCACGATCCAAGATCGTCAAGACGCAACAGTCAGGTTGATCCGGGGCGTTGGAATCCCGAGACCAATGTCTCGGCATGCTCCCCATTCTTCAAATGGTTGTCTTTCAACGAGGCAGATCCCGTAATGGAAATGAACCATTGTAGGGGCCTACGAAGAGGAGGCTTGGAGGGAGGCGTACTCCAACATCGTTGATGGCTCTTGGGTTTACACTGGTCCTCCTCCTCCTACTCCTCCTCCTCATCCTCCTCCTCCTCCTCTTCCTCCTCCTCCCCCTCCTCATCCTCCTCATCCTCTTCCTCCTCCTCCTCCTCCTCCTCCAACCTCCTCCTCCTCCTCCTCCTCCTCCTCCTCCTCCTCCTCCTCCTCCTCCTCCTCCTCCTCTTTTCCTCCCCTCTCCTCCTCCTCCCTCCCTCCTCCTCCTCCTCCTCCTCCTCCCTCCTCCTCCCTCCTCCTCCTCCTCCTCCTCCTCCTCCTCCTCCTCTCCTCCTCCTCCTCCCCCTTCTCCCCCTCATCCTCGTAGTCCTCCTCCTCCTCCTCCTCATCCTCCTCCTCCTCCTCCTCGTCCTTCTTCTCCTACTCCCCCTCATGTTCCACCTCCTCCTCCTCCTCGTCCTCCTCCTCATCCTCCTTCGCCCGGCGTAAAATTTGCAACAGCTTCACGGATGGAGGGCGGGTCGCTTTCAAAATATGGTTGTCGCCCTGGCCGCGCGCACATCCATCGTACAGAATTGCCAGAGCTTCGCAGATTGAAGACATGCCGTTGCCAAAATGCGGCTCTCGCCGTAATGCCGCACACGCGCGTCGTAAGAAATGCAAGAACTTCTTCACGGATTGAAGGGTCGCTTTCAACATGTGGCCTGCTTCATCGCCGCGCACACTCGTCATAACAAAATGCAACAGGTTCATTGGTTGAGGGCCGCTCATTTTCGTAATGTGGCTCTCGCCGTGGCTCCTCGCACATCCGTTCTAGTTAACAGTTTACACCAGCTTCAAGGATTCTCAGGTTTACTGTCCCAGAAACGATGTTATGCCACGATGTCGCACTATCAGGGCGCAACAGTGAAATGCATTCGTGGTGTTGAACTCCCAATAATGGGGTTATGGCACGATTCTGGTCCGTCAAGACGCTACGGTAACTGTGACTCACGGCGCTGAAGTCCCAGGAACGGTTTTAGCACAGCTCTGGATTTTCGAACGGTTGTTTTCCAATGGGGCGCCTCCTTCACTGAAAATTAATCCTGGCAGGGGCCTATGGTGGGGGAGTTTGGAGGTAGGGTTTATTGCAACATCGTGGATAAAAATTTGGTTTCTCCTCCTCTTGTTCCTCCTCCTCCTCCTCCTCGTCCTCGTCCTCCTCCTCCTCATCCTCATCATCATTGTCCTGCTCCACCTCCTGCTTCTCCTCATATGCCCCCCCAACCAACCCACAGGTAAGTCCGAGGCGCCGAACTGGAGCTAATGTTGCCACTGCAACTGCGCAATGCTCAAGGCGAACGGAGAGAGAGAGGAAAAAATAATACAAAAGAGGAAAAGAAGGAGAAAGAGAAAGAGCAAGAGAGAAAGGGAGAGAGAGAGAGAGGGAGAGAGAGACGGGGAAGAAAGACTGAGAAGAGACATGGCCCGACCCAGCTACTGCTTTTCCGCCGCGGCCGAGCGGCGAGGCAAGAGGGGAAGGGAGGGAGTGCCCAGAGCTGTAGCTTCCCACCTTTTGCTGACTCCGCCAAACCCCACTCTCTGGGCACCCCCCTTCCTGCACTGTGGCGAAAGCTGGGCTCTTGGCCAGCCAACCACGCCCAACGAAGCGCTGGGCTCGGGCCTGCACGCCCACTGGAAAGACCCTCCGCCCCACCCCCCTCAAACACCTCTCCCCCCGCCTCCGAAAGCTCTTGAGGCTGGCCCCTGACTTTCGCCGCGTCAGCTCTTGGCTGCCGGGAGGCAGGGCAGAGGGACGGAGAGGAATCTGCGGAGGAAGGCAGGAAGAGGGAGAGGAGGCACCGAAGGCAGGAGCTTTGATGCAAGGCAGTCTCTGCACTGCCCCACCTCACTCAGAGGGTCTCGCGCTCCTGCGGCGCACGGCTGGCCTCTCCAGCTTCGAGAAGCATCACGCGCTTCGACCACCCCGCAACCCCATTCCACACACCCACCACTATCCCTCAGACAAGGCGCAAAAAAGGCAGACCGCAATTCCCGTGACCTATCCCTCGGCTGCAGGAATGCGCGGGAGGGTGGGGGAAGGAGAGGGGGAAATGGAGGAGGAGCCTAGAAAGAGGAGGGGAGGGAGAAAGAGCAAATTCGCTGCAGCTCTGGGCGGCCGCGAGATTTCGGCCCGTCGAGCTGGCATCGATCTCGTTCACTCACCTTCTCTACACCCTGTTCACTCCCATGGACCGGCATCCCCCGTGAACGGCGACGTTCGTAGGCGACTGCGCTCCAGCCGCCTCTCTTCACGCTCTCGTTCTGCAGCGGCCTCTTCATACCGTTGCTGTCTGAGGTTTTCGCGCTCCAGCCGCTATTGTTCTTTACGCGGCTCCAGCTCTGCATCGCCTTCGAGATGAACTGACGGCGCGTCTGGCATCTCGGGCAATTGATCTGCGAACTGCATGACTTCGGGCTCCCGCCTCGCAACCTGCGGCGCCTGATCCTTGAACTTGCCGTCTAGGCCCTCAAACAAGCCGCGGCCCTTTGGCAGCTCAAGCTGCTCTGCTGTGCCCAGGGCGCCCTGGAAGAAAAGCTGCTGTACCCCATAGGATTGAAACTTGCTCACTGCGGCAGGCTGTCTGGCACTAGGCGCCATCAGTTCCTGAGAAACCGCAACACTCAAACGCCCCCCCCCTTTCACAATGCAAAGTCCCACCTCCTCACAACGATGCTCCGACGACGGGGATCAATCGGCAGCCAGACACCGAGGCCTGGAGGAATAAACGGTTGCGCCTCTGGGTTCATGTCGTTGCCACCGGCACCGCGCCATGCTGGGGAATCTCCACCATCGCCAACTGCATCGGCCTCAGAACGGAGATTCGCGGGCAACGATTCCAACCTAGGGCCACGCTGCGCCGCCCGGAGTTGCGGCGGGGCGGCCGTCAGCACGTCCATGCCCTTCGCCACCGAGTGCAAAGCCACATTCCGCCGCAGTCGGTCCACGCCATCACACTCCGAGCCTGTCGGGTTTGCGACCAACGCTGGCACAACAGAGATCATGCGCCCCGCCGTCGAAGCGTCCACCTGGAGGACCACCCTCATTTGGTACAAGAGCTTGTCGTACTTAGCCTAGGACATTGCGAGCGCCTGGATGAGCTTCGCCACCGCGCGATCGGCAGAGCGCTTCGCCCAAGCCCTGCTCGCCTTACCCACATCCGCCCGTGACATCCCAAGATCCACTGCAGTTGAAGACCCCTCGCACATGCACAAACAGGACAAACATGCCAGGCTTGCTCGAGCAATACAAAAGGGGGTTTGTCCGCTGGTGGACGGCTTGAGCCTTGAGCCAAACTGGCTACGGATCTTCCTCCTCCTCATCATCCTCCTCCTCTTCCTCCTCCTCCTCCTCCTCCTCCTCCTCCTCCTCCTCCTCCTGTTCCTCCCCCTCCTCCTGCTCCTGGTCCTCTTCCACCCCCTCCTCCTCCTCCTCCTCCTCCCCCTCCTCCTCCTCCTCCTCCTCCTCCTCCGCCGCCCCCTCCTCCTCCACCACCTTTGTGGAAGTCGTCGGCCCGCCGCGCTGACCCCCAGTGGAAAACATACTCATGCGCCTGCTCAGCCTACTCCATTCCACTTCCTTGTAACTAACTTCTCCCTGTCGCACCCCGAGGCCAGTTTTTGGGACGGGCCAAGCGTTTCGCCTGAGACCTCCTCACCGCTTATGACCCTGAAGCTCACAAATTCGCCACCGCTTCACAGATGGAGGCCGGGCCGTGTTCAAAATGTGGGTGGGTCTCGCCTTAGCGCCGCGCGCAGCCATTTCAAAAATTTGCCAGAGCTTCATGGATTGAGGGCGGGTGGTTTCCAGCATGTGGTTTTCGCCTTAGCACCGCGCGCATTCGTCTTAAAACACACATGAGTTTCACGTAGTGAGGGCGGTTCACTTTCTAAACATGGCTCTCGCCTCAGCGCCGCGCACAATTGTTTTCAAACGTTGCAAGAGCTTCACGGATAGAGGGCGGTTCCTTTCACAAGGTGGTTCTCGCCTTGGCGCCGCACACATTCGTGTTCAAGGTTTACAGAAGCTTCACGGATTGAGGGCGGTTACTGTTCAAAATGTAGCTATCGCCTGAACGCCGCGCACATTCGCTGTTAAAGTTTTAAGAGTTTCACGGGTTTCCCATGATCCACGTAACAGAAATGATGTGTTGGAGAGGTTCTGGATTAAGAGGGTGCAACAGTTATGTTAATGCGCGGTGCTGAAGTCCAAGGAATGACGTTCTACAATCCTCGTCAAAATTAACCTCAAAAATGTCTGACGTGGTTGGGCTGCTTGTCGGAAGATCTGGGGCCGAGTATCGATGAGTGCGGGGTACTTGCATGCGCCGTCCCTCCAATTTCGGTCGACGTCAAACGTTCGAGTCAACTTCGGTCAGACTATCCTTGCCCTCGCCCCGACATTGAAGGGGCGGCGTGTCGACATTGAGGGGCGCGCCGAAATCGAAATGACGTGCCAGCAACTGTTGAGGTTAATTTTGACGAGGGTAGTAGCATCGTCAAGACGCAACAGTCAGGTTGATCCATGGTGCTGGAGTCCCGAGAATAGTTTTGGCATGCTTCAGGGTCTTAAAAACGGTTGTTTTCCAACGAGGCAGTTCCCTCAGTGAAAATGTACCTTTGTAGGGCCTATGAGGGAGTTTGGAGGGAGGGTTTATGCCAACACCGTTGAAGACTCTTGGGTTTACACTGGTCTTCCTCCTCCTGCTCCTCCTCCTCCTCCTCCTCCTCCTCCTCTGGCGAAGCTCGTTATCCGTTATCCCCTGTCGCCGTGGCTGCCCCGCGATGGAGCCCTTGTACTTCGCGATCCGCAGCGCCAGCACGTCGCACTCCTCCTGCAGGCGGTAGGAGTTGGCCACGTTCGTGACGATGGTGTCGAAGGAGGCCAGCACCTCGTTCATCCAGGTGCTCTGCCCGAACCCCATGACTGCAGCGTTGAAGAAGAACATCTCCGTGTAGGTCGTCGGCACGGAGGTGTTCCTGAAGCTGCCGCCCTCGGAGTCGTCCATGCTCTTGGCCTCGTGGCCCGCGCCTGCATCGCCCCCCGCCTTGTCGCCGCCGAAACCCCACCTCTTCTTCTTTGTGCTGCCCTTCTTTTTCTTCTTGGCGCTGGGCCCGTCCGTGTTGCCCATCATTTTGCTGCCCACGTCCTGGTTGTTGTCGTTCCCGCTCGCGGCGGCCTCCTTCTCCTTCTCGTCCTTCTCCTTAGAAGACCCCCCCTCCCCCGACCCAGCATAATCCGAGGCCAGATCCTGATTCGGCAGCGCGCAAGACTGCCCCTGGGCAACAAAAGCGACCGTTGGGTGTGCGGCTTGCCGGTCGCTGCGTGCGGTGCGACAGGGGAGGCCTGCGCGCTTTGGAGGCGCCCCCCCCCCGGGAGCCGCGCACCAAGGGCAGACTGGCGAAAAGCCACTCTGACGGTGAGGAACTTCTGCTTAGAGTCACGCGGCGGCGACCCAGCAACACGCCGTGCTTCTGTGGCAACTGATGGGAGCCTCCCATGTCGTCGTGATGGCGATTGCGACGCCAACGAACGCGAGTCGGCGCTAAATCGACGCTCAATCGATGCTACATCGACGCTAAATCGGCGATAGTCGTCGCGAAACTGGCGCTTTCTCGTGGACAACGACTACCACACGCTAGCCCATGCCTATGCACTCCGAAGACGGACTTGCGAGGACATGCAAGGCTTCCATGAGCTGGTACCGAACGCCATGCCCTGCGAGCCGACAGCGTCGTCGCCCCGCCTCGCGGGGCGGGAGGCTGGGCAGAGCTTCGGTCGGTGACCCTTGGGGAATGGGGACGTGTCAAGAGCGCAGCGCCCAAGTCTTCGTATGGGGGGCAACAACGCGGCGAAAGCCGTACACAGTTTCGACTCTGGCGCCGGCCGCCGGCTGGGGCGGACAAATTCTGCCCCCCCAGGAGAATAAAAGGCCACCATACAGGGCTACCCGTGACAAGAGTGCCCGGGTGAGCGTTCGAAGAGGAGGAGGAAGAGGAGGAGGAGACCCGGCGGCGCGACACGCCAGTCGGACGAAGAGACAACGGACACTCAAACCCATAGGGAGGAGCGGGGAAGAGCACGGAGGTGAAGGCGCTGTGAGCATGGGCGCGGGTTGTCGGAACCCGAGGAGGGTTCACGCTCGAGCGGGGACCCCTTCCAACAGCGCACACCCGCAACCCCCACGGAATTCCACCCCGGGCATAGGTATGGGTGCTGGGTGGCAGTTCGTGATCGTTTTCGCCCCGCGCATCGCATCGGAAATCTGGCCGCCCGAGAAGAAAACCTGAACCACAGGATCTCCGGAGTTCCACTCCCGCCCCTGCGAAGGGCTGTCCCTTCGCCAGGTCGTCGAAGGCGCGACCGCGCGCAAAAACGTCTTCCGTCCGCCACGCGGGAACGCGCTCCAATCCCAATACCAGGTTGCGCCACGGCTGATCATGTCATAGGAGGACATGTGGGCATGGGCGGGGCCCGCTGACTCGATCAACCCGGCCAACCTGATCCCTCACCATGATCGGCGGCGCGTCGCGGAGGCTTCTTGTAGGCCCATATCCTCGCCCTCCTCCTCACCCTCGCCTGGCGCCACCACCTCTGCGAACTCGTCCTCCTTCTTGTTGTTCGCCGTGGCCCAGCTGGACGCCAGGATCTTCAGGCGGTCGGCGAATTTCGTCCGCGTGTAGATGGTCGGGGGAGGCAGGGGTCGGGGCGGCCCGCCTCCTACCCAACCTCCGTCCCCCTCCTCATCCTCCTCCTCCTCCTCCTCCTCCTCCTCCTCCTCCTCCTCCTCCTCCTCCTCCTCCTCCTCTGCTGTACCAACAGGCATCGTCCTTCTCCATTTCTTATCCCCTCCACCACCACCACCACCACCACCACCATCATCATCATCATCATCATCATCATCATCATCATCATCATCATCATCATCATCATCATCATCATCATCATCTTCATCATCATCATCATCATCATCATCATCATCATCATCATCGTCACCACCACCATCAGTCATCATCATCAGCATCATCACCATCATCCTCATCCTCATCATCATCCTCATCCTCATCCTCATCATCATCATCTCCATCATCATCACCATCATCATCATCATCATCTTCATCATCATCATTATCATCATCATCATCAGCATCATCATCATCATCATCGTCGCCATCATGATCACCACCGCATAATCATCAGCAACAGAATCATCATCACCATCATCACCATCATCACCATCATCACCATCATCACCGATACGATATTAGC